ACTCAAAGCGCTTTACAGGTAATGGGGACTCCCCTCCACCACCACCAATGTGCAGCATCCACCTGGATGATGCGACGGCAGCCATAGTGCGCCAGAATGCTCACCACACATTAGCTATCAGTGGGGAGGAGAGCAGAGTAATGTAGCCAATTCATAGAGGGGAATTATTAGGAGGCCATGATTGGTAAGGGCAAATAAGAAATTTCGCGCCAGGGTTACCCCCTACACTATCCTGGGGCATTAGGAGCCACGTGGACCGTAGGGTGAGCGCCCCCTGCTGGCCCCACTAACACCTCTTAAAGCAGCAACCTTAGTTTTTCCCGGGAGGTCTCCCATCCAGTTACTGACCAGGCTCACTGGGTTGCCAGTTGTGAGTTGCAGGGTGATATGGCTGCTGGCCATGGCAATAACTGGTACATTACCAGATGGGTTGCTGCTTAAAGAGCAAATACTACCATCCCAAGTCTTGTAAAGAATTTTAGAGTTCTTATGTGTCTTTTAATGTGTACAACTAACTTGTGATGTGATTTAAATCTAATAAAATATTTGTGTAATTGAGGTTGTGAAGGTTGCATAGTCCTCAGTATTCCTAAACAGCTAAGGTCAGTCCTTTTAAAAATTTCACCCTGTAATCTGGCTACATTATGTGTAATAATCGCCTTGTTTGTCAGGCCAGATGTCAGCTGTGGAACTATCTTTTTTAATAATCTTATTGCAGAAGTTGGAGGAAATACAGATGGTACCTGCAGCATGCACTGAGATGCTTTTCCTAGATAAACGTGTGTTAATGTAATTCAGTTTATTCAAGGAGCACCTTGTCTTCATTTAGAATTCACTTACTGTCATGGAAAGTTTGGGTTCTGTTGTACTTTCTATTATTTTCTCATCATTAGCTAGTTTTGTCTTAATCACATGCTTAGTAGCACATCTTTCATGGCGTAGACTTGATATCAAAAGTATTTCCACTATGAAGAAGAACTAATGCATTTAAGAGGGAGTTCTAGTAGGAGTGACAAGTGGAGCCACCCTTTCACAAAGGGTGCTGGTGTTTGGTATAAACTGCCCAACCATTTTGCTGAAGCTTACTCCCTGAGATGTTCTGATATGTGGTTATATGTGATCTTTGGATCAATAAGCTAGGAGTATCCAGATGAGCAAACATTTCTTAGTTTCTTATATTACCAAATCTTAACTGAGTTATGGGCTGGGTGGATAGTTCTCCTTTGACACTGTATTTTCTAGGTATTGAAAGTGTGTTGTTAATTCTGCTAGGCTTTAAAAGTAACATCTATGAAAATTATCCTGTCCATTTGTTATGCTTGCAGTGTAATGGTCTTGTGATAGATTTTGTATGGTAAGCAAGGAGTGTGAATAATGTAATTTTCAAAATTCCTTGTCCATTCACAGGATACTCCAAATTGCTCTCTATAAGCTCAAATAAAGCATCTTTCTTTAAAATAAAATCCTAGTTGGAGCATCTCATTAGCCAGATGTCTATAGACTTCAATATTCATTGAATCTGAAGCAACTTCAGGTCTGTTGAAAGGACAATTAACTTTTAGAGGTGCCTCATAATTGTGGTCAGTTTTTTAATTATTTTCGGTGAAATCATTAGGTAACATCGATTCGGAAAATGACACAAAGTCTCAAGCTTCAGTTAAAGCAGAAGTTGGGAAGGTATCCAGAGGACAGCTGGGAGTATGTACTTGTGCCCAAAACAGAAGAACTGACTGGTGTTGCATACCTGCTCATGAAGAGAACTACATTGAGAGGGAGGGAATAGGTTTCCGTTAATACGTGTAGAGTGGTACCATTTAATGAAAACAATTGAACCATTTAGAAAGCTGACAGGCCTGCTATTAATGGAAGTAATTTAAAAAGTAGAAGTTCTAGAAGCATAGTAAGACTCGGATATATTAAATACCAAATTTGCTAACATTAAAGCTAAATGGAAAATGTGGAGACCAGAAAGTCTTCATACTCTTTCAAAGTGACCTAAAACATAATTATCTGCATATGTTTGAGTATTTGAAATTATAAGCTGTCCACCATTTATGGAGTATACATCCTATTTTCCTGTCATTAGGGCACAATACTGTAAAAAGTTTTTAAAAATAATGTCTTGATACATATGGCATCATGGATTTAGCAGTAGTTTTCTCTCCTTTATTTCAGTGTAAATAATAGATTAGAAACCCTCATTGAGAGTGACAGTACTGGTTTTGTGTTAAATGCACAGGCCATAAGTGCTGTAATTAGGTACCGAATGTGACCAAGGGACAGGGAAAGCAAATAACTGTAGCAAGTTGTAGTTTTGTGCTCTGGAGGGTATCTTACAGTTTATTATCTTGCATGCATTGGATGGTGCTGCAATATGCATTGTGTTGCTTAGGGGTAAAGGAAAGAACCACTGTATAAAGGCAAAGAGACTCTTGCAGGCTGTGCTTGCTTAAGTTCGTGGGCTCTGTATCTCCTGCTGAAACATGGTGATTGTGGGTAACCAGATTTGTATTGAGAAAAGCACTAAGCTGACAGGCTTTGCCAGACCATTACCCGGTGCTAAATTGTACTGCAGTAATGAGGCAGTAAGGCACCTCTCAAGATGCAGCTTGCACAGAGTGACATGGTTTTGCACTGTAGTGATATGCAAACTTTAACTGAGCTGTAATCATGGGATTTTAACCATATCCAGCTGTACAATCAGTAGTTTAAGCCTCCAGTAAGACATGTTATTAGAACTGTGGCATCGTATGCTCCTTCTTTCTTTCAGTCCTCTTTTATCAACCCTTGTAATACCCCTGGGGTTTTAGTCTTTCTGAATGAAGCCCTCGATGACTGAGTATGATAATTTCAAATCATTTTTTAGACTGGACTACGGGATAGCAAGTAAAGCGGACTATCTGTACATACCCTGTGAAAAAGTTCTTAAATCCTCGTTCTTTTAGCCATTAATATCACTCGTATATACACACGTTACAAGACGCGTGTAACTCACCTGTCTTTATGTCCCACAGACCTGCTTCCCGAGAGCGCGCTTGAGGTCCAGATGAACGGGAGCGCTGCCTTTGAGGAGCAGGAGCACGGGGCAGAGTCCGGTTCACAGCTCAACATGCGTGGGGTCTTCCTCCACGTGCTGGGTGACGCCCTGGGCTCCGTCATCGTCGTCATCAATGCCATCATCTTCACGTTTGTGTGGCAGCCCTGCCAGGCTGGGGAGCCCTGCATCAACCCCTGCACGGACAGCCACTGCACTGACCACGAGCACGTCAACCACACGCTGGTGAGCCTGCTCAGCAACGGCACCCAGAGCGTCCTCTCCGCCGGGCCCTGCTGGGTGCTGTACCTGGACCCCACGCTCTGCGTCATCATGGTGTGCATCCTCCTCTACACCACCTACCCCCTGCTGAAGGAGTCGGCGCTCATCCTCCTGCAGACCGTGCCCAAGCAGATCGACATGCACCGGCTCAACGAGAAGCTGCGGGACCTGGAAGGCGTGCTGGCCGTCCACGAGCTGCACATCTGGCAGCTGGCGGGCAGCCGCATCATTGCCACGGCGCACATCAAGTGCCACGACCCCACGTCTTACATGGATGTGGCCAAGCGCATCAAGGACTTCTTCCACAACGAGGGCATCCACGCCACCACCATCCAACCTGAGTTTGTCACCGTCAACTCGGAGTCCCGCATCTCCCTGTGCGAGCTGTCCTGCCGGACCCAGTGCGCCCCCAAGTTGTGCTGCGGCACGGGCGACAAGGCTGGGGCGGGCGCGGAGAAGAAGGCCGGGGATAAGGCCCCCAGCCAGCCTAGCTCCCGCCTGGAGATCATCAGCGAGTCCCCCGAGCACTCGTCTCGAGAACAGGCCCCACCGGACTCCGGCGTCCAGGTGGTGCCTGGGTCAGATCCAGAGGTTGTCATCCAGAGAGAGGTGGAATCGTCTCTGTAGGGCCCTAGCCCTAGGAGGTGACGCGTAATTAAGGTCGGGAGAATGTCGGGGGTGAAGGGGCGCAAGGGTTTGATTTCAGGTAGATGGGCGCCTGGAAAATAAGGCGCCCCTCGTCCCTCCTTCCTACGAGCTGTGTTTGCTGCAGTGTGATAATCCATGTTAGGTCACATCTCAGAGACGCACAATTAGAAACTCTTGCATGCGTGTCATTATCACTGCTTTGTGATAAGGTGTTGGATGGTATGCCTGTGCCTAAGCTTCTCGAAACCGGATATCGGGACACTTATTTCCTTCACTGGAGCAGGAAGACGGCGGAAAACATGGAAAACAAAGCACACCAGCGGATGGTTACAGTTCAAGAAGACTTTGTGATGAGTAGCTAAACTGAAATCTGCCCTGCCATACTTTTTTTTTGTGTGTACATTTTCCTTAAAAGGTATTAAAGGCTTTTGGAAGAGTTTGCTCAGTATCTGTCAGACATTCTAGCCCTGTTATTGAAAGTTATTTTATACAAATATATAATAATTTATGTATTTAAATAAGTTATTAGATTTGGAATCTTTCAGTAATCGACCGTTAATATATATTCAAGATTATATAGTTTTTTTTTGGTTTCCTTTTTATCCACAAGCGGAGCAGACTTTATATCAGAACATACAATGTCTGAAGATGTGCAACAGCAAAATATGTTTTGCAAGCTGCAATGTTGATTTTGAGCAGGCTTGCAATATTTGGAAACATGCCGATGCATTTTATTAAAAAATGAATTCCAGGAAAGTTTGTTTAATGTTGACATAAAAATCTAAGTAGAAATAAGACCAATAAAAGGCACAATTAGTCCTGCCTTTTAATATTTTAAAGCCAAGCTACAAAGCAGGTGTTCCAATTAATTATGCAATTAAAGCCATATACTGTTCCATAATGCACGTTGGGAGACTCCTAAGCCTCTTAAGACCAATGACTGGGTATCTAGGATTTTATGGGCTGAACTCCATTATCTGTGTGGCCAAATTTAAAAGCATTTGAAATTCATTTGCATCTAGGTTACTAGAAGGCATATGTTTGTCGCATAAATGCATGATCATTGGCCTTGTTTGAACAATTGGCTAAATATTACATGCAGTAAGATAGAACTGCTGCGTTTGCAAAATAATTTTTATTTGATTTGTGTGTCCAAAAATACATTTGTATTCCTACGTGGCATTACCGAAACCAAAAAAGGTTTGCTGTGCAAGCCTCTTCGTTTTGGGAAAAGGCTGTATTGTTCTTCAGAAGACGGCAAGCAGAACCGTAGTCATATTGTTCATTGGATTTTCTCCTGTTTAAGTCTAGATTAAACTCTTAACATGGATTTTATTTTTCTCTCCTTTCTTCTCTGAGAGTCCTAACAAGATAGACATTTAATCAAGAGGGCAAGTTTTTCTGGTTGCCCTGCAGAATAATCCCTAAAGAAGAGAGTGCCTCAAGGTTTGTGTTCTGATCTTGGAAGGCTGTATTAGGAAATCTACTGTAGGTGGTGTCTGATATAGCCACGCCCTTGCCATCTTTTAAGAACTATCCATTGTGTTACAGTTGTCAGTGGGCATCTCTGACCTGATTTGAGCATGTGTACTATGCAATATACAAGAGCCAGCTGCTGGTGCTTCTGCTGGGGGTGGGGTGGGGCTGCTGGTCATTGTGCGCAGTGCTTGAGATCTAATGCCCTGCTCTTCCCTTGACGGGTTTTATCAGCTGGGAGCCACTCTGGGCGTCTCCTCACAGGTCTGGGCTTAGCGTGAACTCCCCTAACTCTTGACAGTCTTGCAGCCCTCAATAAATGACAAAGCCTCCAGTCCAATACTTTCAGTTTTTCTATTGAGCAACAGCCCAGAACAGGGAGGGAAACAAGAAAAGCTGTCTTTTGCAGGTCTTTCCACACACAGCTTTGGAAGGAGCCAGAGAATATTTCAGGTTTTATGACTTCTCTGGCATCCTTGCTGATTGCTTTCGGGGTAAATCATTGCGGTTGGTTGCAGCCATTAACCACTGGAAACCCAGGTTTGACAATTTCCATTGAATTTAATCCTGGAGAGAGCTGGTACTTGTGATCGATCCAGACCCCTACAGAGGTTTCCCCATGCTGACCGTACGTATGCAAGTGGCACTACAAAGCATTCCTCAGCAGCACTGTTTGACAGTTTTGCAGTTCGCCCTCATTATTAACAGAGATGGAAAAACTGGCTACGGGGGAGGGGTGGATTTGTATTTTCAAACAGCAGGTTTTTCAGGGGTTAGGAGCAGGATTAAACAGCAGCACTTTAAACACCAGTCTGAATTTCCATTAGGGCAGCTGCCTCTGTCCTCAGTACAGTCTGTTTCATTAGGTCTCACAAGAATAATTTGTTCCTCGCAGGCGCACATTTGACTTTAAAATGCAGGAGGACGTAAGCTTCAATTTGCTTCGGGAGCAGTTTTGTTCAGGCTGTTTACCCTCCCCCATCCCCCCAACCCCCTCCTGAATACTTAACATGTTTCCCCAAAAACTTAAAATGTGCCTTCCAACCACCCCCATCCAAATCCCACATCCAGACCTCTTTCAGTGAACAAAGCAGATTCTCCAGATGGTCAGCTGCCTAATTTGCCCTCGTCCCACCTCCCTCTGCATGGTGGAATGAACTACAGACAAGCCCCCTGGGGCTGTAGCACGTTCATTGATCCTGCAGTACTGATGCATTCCCATCTTCATTTCTCATGCCAGCTTAGAAGAGACTGACTTTGCTCTTAGAAGCATGGCCACCTACAGCATCCTATGCCAAAGTGCTCATCGCCCTTTTGGAAGGAGTAATCCGATCCTAATGATGGTCCCCACTGTGCTGGCAGAGATGACGGAACTGTTGCTTTGTTCCAGTAAACAGGAGAGTGCCGTTTGCAGGTTGCAGATAGTTTTTCCAATGTTAAAATAAAACGGGCAGTTAAAAGCACCGTTTGTTTCCTGGTCTCCTGCTCTTGCGAGTCCCTTATTACAACGGTTTACATGCAAGGCTGGGAAAAAATCTTTACAGTTTGTATGGTCTGTTATGCAGGTATGCTTTTTTAAGCCTTCTGTGAACTTGTTGCGCAGAGAATGCATGTAGTTCTACTATCATACATGTGTAAAAGGGAAAAAAAAAGACTGACCAGAAAATAGATAACCTTCTAAGGTTAAAGAACCTGCAGGAAAAAATGTTAGTTGAAATTTCCTGGTTTAAGCACTTTTGACTCCTTCATCTTTCAGATTGTGGGTGTATTTGCAATTGAAATAGTCACCTACTCATATTGGATCTTCATTGGAAAAAATGCTTTTTTTAAAGGTTATTGCCCTGTTAGCTTGACAGCTGTGTAGAATGTGTAATAGTGAACACTTTTTAAGTCCATATCCCTAAATAAAAAACAGTTTATTAGAATGCATTTTTAATGATTGAAAGCTACTCTTTTCCAAGGAACAGTACAGGTAGTATCCAAGGCTCGCTGTTAGCAATCCATGGGTAATATAAAATTGAAGCTTCTGCGAAGGTGTGGGCATTGAGGTTAAGTGATTTATTCCATTAAATCTTATATAGATGTATTTTTTTTTATTAGTGTAACATTTTTGAAGATCCCTTTTAGTATTGCTGTTCCTATTTACAGTATATACCTTTCTCAGAATTCTGTACCTGTTTGTTTTAACTGTGTAATTTTATATTAAAAAAACTGAGATCAGGCCTTTCAGTTTGTCAGAACGTTGTATTATAATTTTTTCACCTTCACCTCTGGAGGAGAACCTAGAGCCCAATGTGATTAATTTTTTCAGGCGATGTTTCTGCTTGTTTGTTTCTCTCATGATTAAAAATAAAACTTTCCATTAATGAATATGCATTTTAGTATGAATATAGTGAATAGAGGTTTTTTTTTCTAATCCTGCACTAGTCCCAAATCAATGTGCATAGTATAACAGTTTTTAAGAAACCTTGATTTTATATATATATATAAGATTTTAACAAGGGTAGGAAGGGAAATTTGGAAGTTCCAGTATGAAACATAGTACATAAAGGGAGAGTATGTTGCTTGAAGCTGTCAAGAAGAGAGTTCCAGGCTTAAATGTAAGTGCAGCCAATGAAGCATGAAATAACAGCCTGTTTCATATTAAATTAAAACAGGACACGGTCCTGTACCTAAAGTGCATAATACAAATTTGCTATAAACCAAGTAAAGCATACAAAACTGAAAATAAGAAAATTGGTAGGCAGATATCAGTCAATTCACTTATTCCCATGATTCCTTCAGCTTCAGCATTCTTAGAATTGGAAAGCTCACTTGAATCTTCCATTAATATGAGACATGCAGGGAAATGGATCCATTTGTTTGCACTGGTCTCGCACCTCTTGCTCTTTTCCACATGTGCAGGGTTTTTGACTGGAGGGGGTTGGTTTTTCACTTGTCTGAAACACTTGGAAGCAATCCTAGTGTGTGGCATCAAATCAACATAATTGTTTCATCAATTTATATGTAATTCTACTGTTGTGCATTTTTCCTAAGTGAAATAATCTGTCATTGGATGTATGTGTGCTCAAATCTATCTTATTTTGGGTTGGAAAATTATGAGAAGTGCCAGAGTCTACAGTATACATTGGGTTTACAAGCTTATACATATAAACCACAGAGCTTTTTCATAATAAATTAAAATGGTTTATCTGATGTCAGAAAAGATCATAAATATGGCAATTTAGATTTCTTGCCAGCAGTACCAATCTGAGTCTTTCCCAACTTTCTGAAGTGTGTCAGAAGACCATGTATTGAACTACAGCATTATATACTGTATATCTGTAATTAAAGTCCCTTCTGCAGCGAACATTTTATTCCTTGTGTTAATCAAGGGATGTGTTTTTATAGTTCGAAATCCTCAGTCTGTGACAATGACCTGTTTTAACAACTAAAGAAAAATAACAGACCAGGCTTTTTGGCCCTGCTAGAGTCCTGTATTCCAGTAGGTTTGGGCTCCATCTTGCTACTTTTTTAAACTCCATGAACTGTATGCCTTTGAAACACAATGGCTTCTTGGAAGCGGTGTATTGTTTTGTATCATTACATACTGTAAATATAAGCAGTAGCTGATTTTTATTGGCTGTCATTAGGAGCAGAACTCTCTGAGTGGTTAATGTTAGACTGGTATTGCACTGAGCTTCGCAAATCCCTTCGCTTTCTAAGGAGGCCTGAAAGTCTGCACTCTTGACCGTATGTATTTGTCTGTGTAACCGAATTTGAATTTTATTTGGCTTGGTTTTCATTTAAGGTGCCCTGTTGATCCACAATTGTCCAGCTTTTAATAGTGAGGTCAGTTTAAATATGTATTTCACCTTTGTCTTTGTCTTGAGCATATAGTGTGTGTGTGTGCGTGCATATATTTCAATAAATTGTAGAGAATTAAAATTGTTTAGCAGGTTCTGATCTAAAGGCAAGTTATTGATTAACTGTCAATTGGGAGCTCTGGTAATATACTGGTAATAGTGAGTGCAGGTTAGATACAAAGGATTACAATTAACTATTCTCAGTTGTACACTGCATTAGGGCTGGAGCCCTCTGTAGTTCTTGAGCTATTTTTGTCAGCCACAGCTCACCAGTGATTTTTTTTAGAAGCTCTTCCCAGCTTGAGGGCAAACTGTATTTTATGTGCTTATGTACTGTGTGACTGCGATTTAAAAGCAGAGCCTATACAAATCTCACCATCTGTATACGACAGAAGACATAATATTGCTTTACTGATAGTAGCAAAACTGCTGAATGCTTTATGAAAGTTTAAGACAAAGTCCTAACATTATCCTGTAATAGCCATATCTTTTTTTTTTTAATCTACCTGGACCAAATCTTAAGAATTGTATTGTCTAAATGAAATGTCAAATGCAAGTGTACAAATATTCTTTCTTTAAATGTTAAGGTCCATAAAGGTTAAGACCGGTTTCATGCACATTTCAAAACCTTTTTTTTTTGCATATTCTTCCCATGGTGGATCATAATGCACAGTGTGATCTGTTATTGGGTGCTGTGACTGTGATGTTAGTGTTTTTATATTTGGTACTATAGGTTTATACCATTTTGCTTTTATACTGTTCGTGACATTCCTGTTTTTTAACACGGGGTCTTGGTGCAGTTTTATGCACCCTTTTTTCCATAAAAATCAAACAGATCTTAGTCTTCAGGAATTTTGTCTTGTCACCCATAGATCACTTTGAGGCTCTGTCAGTGGTTTTTTCAACCTTGTCACTACACCAGACTATAGCAAGTTGACCGAGACCCTTCTTTCAAACTTATTTCACTACTATATACAATAATGAGAAGAGCAAACGAAAAATTCCCCTAAAGAGCAATCTGACATCTAAACACCTGTCCATGCTGAATTTACCTGGGTTTTATTTATATTTTACCACATAAATCCCTAAGCTGGCCTTTTGGATAAGTGAAGGAAATGTCTGTCACTTTTCAGTTTGGCTAGATGTACAAACATTATATACTCTTACAACATCTTGAATAAGGTAAAGTATAGTTTGTGTCAGTTTTCAATGAAACCTATGCCTGCAGTTGATATTTAAGTTAAAAGTTATTTAAATTCTTAACATCGTATTCTGAAGTTATATTGTGGTAAATATCAATAGTAAATTGGTCTGATACATAAAATCCTTAAATTTGTTTAAATTGTAATGAACATGTGGTAACCTTACAGTCTCACCTTCTCCTGTAATGTATGGACCAGTGAAGAAGTAAAGACTGTTTTTACCAGTATAGGAAATGCCAGTTAATTGTTTGGTCTATAAATACATTTTTCTCCAGGTTTTGTTTGAACTTGCTTTTTACTGTATGTAAGTAACTGTTTTCTCTTGCAGTTTCTACGTCTACACAGTGTGTTCCAAATCTGTGTCTACCTCTTTTAGAATGTTTCATTAATGTGGTGTTGTTATAAAATTTTCTCTGAGGAAACAAAAAAGAATCTTTTGTCCTTTTTACATATACCAGTGTCTGAATTGTTTTGTTTGCATTGACCTGT